GGGCCTTCCGGCGGCCCCGGCCTGCCCGCGGGCCCTGCCCGCCCCTGTGGCCCCTGTCCCCCTCGGCGCGGGCGGGGAGGGCCCCGATAGTGCCCGTCCTGAGGCTGTGTGCAGAGCTGCTGCTGCTGTTTGTCCCCATCACGTATTGTATTAGAGAAGAGAAACATTAATAAGATGGGGTTTTTTTTTTCAGTACCGGTACTTATTTTTGTGGAAAGATATATGTCAAGAATGTATAGTGCAGCGTTACTGGTTTAATGTTGAGGAAATGTGCTGTCAAATGGTATTGTTCTGTGTTTTTCTGTTACAAAGGAAAAAACAAAATGGCATCAGGAACGGTACCGAACGGCACTCCTTCAGGAGGATCAAATGACGTGAGCCTGGAAGAACCAAAGAAGATGACAAGGGAAGACTGGAGGAAAAAGAAGGAATTAGAAGAACAAAGAAAACTAGGAAATGCACCTGCTGAAGTGGATGAAGAAGGAAAGTAAGTTTTGTTAAAGCTATGGTTATTCTAAAGCTACTGCTTAAAAATGTCATATTTCCTGTTGTGATTACAGAATAATCATGAGGGTGATACATTATTTCTGCATGAGTCATTGTAGAGGTAAATAGTTGAACTTTGTGAATTTGCTGTTAACATTCCAGTAATCCTCAGAAAACTGATATCTTCCAAAAGAATGTAGGTTCAGTGTTTATCTACTGTGATCTACTGACAGTGCTGCTGAAAAGTTCCACCTACGCAGCTGCTTACAAGTGGTATTTTAAAAGTGACCAAAACATAGTACTGGGGAACCTTGCTGCGTACCTGACCTGTTCCCTTTCCCTTGCTTCTACAAGTCTCATTGTTTCCAAGAAGAGAAATGTTACCATTTTTGTGCATTGTAACATTGCATAGAATAAGGTATTTGATTTGGAGTCGGGATTTTAGGTGAATTAGATGGCAACAAAATCTCAATGAAAGTTGATGTTTATCTAGTTAAATTAGAGCTTGCTTTTCAATGCATCGTAACAACTTCATTATTTTATTGTTACTCTTAAAATACTGAACTTTAATGTGAGAGTTACTTGTTTGGCTAAGTTGTGGTATTTTTCCCGTACACCATGTATTTATTACACATGTTTTACAGGGATATCAATCCTCATATTCCTCAGTACATATCCTCAGTACCATGGTACATAGATCCCTCTAAAAGACCTACACTAAAGCATCAGAGACCTCAGCCAGAGAAGCAGAAACAGTATAGCTCCTCTGGAGAATGGTACAAACGAGGAGTTCAAGAGGTACGCAAAATATTTTTGTCATAAAATAAAACATTTAGGTTTTGGGTTTTTTTGAGGAACTAAGAAAAGAGACATTGACTCACTATAAGGACGTGTCTCTCGTTACGTTTTTGAGAGGAACTGGGAATTTTTATTCAGCGGGCAAGTCGCAGTGTTTTGTAATAACCAAAATATGTGTTCTGGGTTTGGGTAGACCACGCACACTTCAGTTGTATTTAAAAAATGAATTAATTATTGGAACATATATATGAATCTTGCAACAAGTTTGTATGATTCTCTTTTGTTGTTTAGCATGCTGTAGCAACTAGATATCGTAAAGGAGCTTGTGAGAACTGTGGTGCATTGACACACAAAAAGAAAGACTGCATGGAGGTAAACTTGACTTCTGTTGATGTTTTAAGGGGATTGAAAACAATGTGAATTCTCGTCTTAGTGAAAAATAGCTAGCTATAGATAAAATAAAAGTTAACTCATTTTAAAAAAGCTGCTTTGAAAAAGGTTACAACTATTGGCAGGTGGCTTGAAAATTTATAAAGAAATTGTTTTGTAGAAAAAAATGAAGGGAAAAAATGCTACTATTCGGGGTTTCGCTTATCAACTCTGTAATAAGTGCTGCAGTAGTAGGTGAAAATGTTTAGCTGTTCATGTTAATTTGTTTTAACTCAAGTACTTCTGTGCCTGTCTTTCATGTCAGCTAGAAGCCATCTGCAGAAACTGTGTTTAGTTGCTTTCTTAATTGTGGAAAATAGAGTTAGAAATTTATAGGGTTTGAAGACAGTTACACTACTTTAAAATACAGAAATGAACTACTTGCATTTATTTACAATTCACAGGTTTATAGTGCTGAATTTAACTGTGTTTAGAAAACCTTAACTGATACTGGTTTTAAAGGGATGTCTGAGTGAGTAACATATTTTTGTCCAATGGACTGATCCAGCCATTTTTTTTCCTTTCAGAGACCCAGGAAAGTCGGAGCAAAATACACAGGCATGAATATTGCACCAGATGAACATGTGCAGCCTCAACTTATGTTTGATTATGATGGAAAGCGAGATCGTTGGAATGGTTATAACCCAGAAGAGCACATGAAGATTGTAGAAGAATATTCCAAGGTTGATTTGGTATGTAGGTGATATGGTTTACTGGGGAAAACTACAGTGTTTGGCTTGGCTGGGAGGAGTAATGTTTTTTATGTGCACTGTTAATGTTAGACATTGTGCTGTATTCATAATGAACAAATGAGGTGGATTCTGTGTTTGATAGCAAATTTTGCTTGAACTGAAAATTCAGATCAGAACTGGCAGCTGAGTATGGGTCTGCACAATAAATTAAGTGTCTCTCCAGATTGCTTACTTTTTAATAGACAAGCCTTAGACATTATTACCCAAGATGCAGATTGAATTGCAGGCAAGAAAGGAATTTATTATCTGCCTGTATTAGAGCCAATAAATATATATCTGTTTTGTAACCTCATTCGTGTTTTTTCACTTATGAATCCTTTTCATTACCATGATGGAGCAGTGGACTATTAGTACGTGTCTCTGTGCAGATTGGCACCTTGCAGTTGCAGTTAACGTTCTATCTGTAAGCACCAAATCCACGTGGACACTGTTAACTTTTTAGAAGAAAAAAAAATAGCTCACTACCTTGGCTGGATGTTAGGCCAGTTCCAAAAGGTAGTAACTAACTCCCTTCACCCCCTGGCAGTATTTTCCTATAGTGCACAGGAAAGCTAATGCTAAATGTGATCTAATCAGTGTGTATAAATGTCCAATGGGAGTGTTTAAAGGCTCTTCTCAGTAGTATCTAGTGACAGGACAAGAAGCAGTGGGTACAAATTGAAATACAAGAAATTATATTAAAACATAAGAAAAAATTATTCTACTGTAAGAGCTATCAAACAGCTTGCCCAATAAGGCTGGGGAGCCTCCATTCTTGGAGTAACCAAAACCTCCATAGACACAGTCCTGGGCAATCTGTTGTAGGCAAGCCTGCTTTAAGCAGGGGGATTGTCCTAAGTGATTGCCAGAGGTACCTCCAATATCAACTATTCTGTGTGTGGTTCTGTGATGTCAAACACATTCAAAAATTCCCTACATGGTGCTTTAGAGTCTCACTTTAGATACTAGACTTTGCTGCTTCCTGGATGAAACGTAAATGCTTGCAGCATCAGTCATCAAGTACCTTGAGCACTGAAGTTCTTAACTAGATTTTGAGGCCACAATAATAAAACATGTTTGTTCTTAAACACTGTTGAACTAAAATAAGCTATTTCTTTCTTAAATTGGGATGCACATAGTAATGGTATAGATTCATAAGCTCTAGTAAACTGTTTTATTTAACAGGATAATATAAAATAGTGAAATGGTTAATGTATATGTAGTGTCCTTGAAGCTCAAAAAACAATATGGTAAAGAATAGAGAGAAGCTCTAGGCTGCTGGTGTTTCACAAAAACCCAGAGAATTCAAACCTCTTTTTTTTTTTTTTTTTTTTTAAACTAAGGAGTATGTTTTAAATGACAACAGTCATAAGAGCTGCTTATAATAAGTATTACCACACATTTGCTATTTAAAAGAAATATTAAAACAAATGCATTTTCATGATACGCAGGCCAAACGTACACTGAAAGCCCAGAAGCTTCAGGAAGAGTTAGCATCAGGAAAGCTGGAGCAAGTGGTAAGTAAACTAAACCCTAATTTATTTTTGTTTAGGCCGACTGAAAATGCAACAGGTTACTTCAGCTCTCTGATGCTTTTATTCCCTGTACAGGTTCTGCTACTATTTTTTATGCCCTTCAATAATTTAAAGATTTTCCTAGCACCAGCATATTCTGTGTCACATTCAAGAATGTAAAGCATCTTCTTTCAAATTAGGGTGGCTTTGTTTTCCCCTTATAGGCAGAAATTTTGTGTGATTATTATTCTTGCTAAAATTAATGACATTGATTTTTCAGCCAGAAAAACTTGTTTTCCATGTAGTAGTTTTGCTTATGTACTGAAATGCTTTTTTGTATTTAAAAATTGTTACGTCTGATTAATGTTGAAGTAGTGACTATTACATGACTGTGGATTGTTTTAGTAATGCTTAGTATAATTTGGAATAGGAAGATATTTTCTTTATCTCAGAAGTAAACTTGTTTCTTCTTCAGTCATTGCTATTACTATTTGCAGTGTGTGGTTATTTGAAGGTTGACCATACGTATTTCCCTCTGGCTTATAACTCTGCAGAGTTTGCACTTCTACTAACTTCTAGAAGCTCCTTTATAAAATTCTAATTTTAAAAGGCATTTCTGATAATATTCTAAGTTTATAAAATGGGAAAAAGTAGAGACTACTACTGGTCAGAAGCAGTTTCTTTAATCAATATGGTAAGAAAGAAATAAACAAGCAAAAGACTACATACAATTGGACCTCAATTTTCCAGAGGTTGTCACGTTGCATTTTGTCACTAGATGGCAGAGTGAACTTAATCTCCAACCCAGCACAAACTACAGCGTTCTGACCTTTCCCGTTAGAAAAGATTCTTTCTCTTTTTGATGCCTGTTTTCACTACAAGGCAATATTGTTGGCTTCATATACGTAGTCCTTACAAAATGGAGCCGAAAGAAGAAAAGTACGTTTGTAATATAAGAACTATCTCTGATGGAGAGGACCAAGACTGATGCCAATTTGCTGGTCAGTCTTCCAGGACTCACTGTTGTTTCCATCTTTACTGCTGCAAGTATTCTCAAGTTGGAGGCTAAGCAGGTTAAAATAAATTCTGGCTCTGTTTCTCCAGATTAAATTATGGCTTCTGATTCATGCTGAGTATTCCTGTCACTCCTAGCTAAATAGTTGCGTATGCATATCTTCTTAATTATTTTTTTTTAAGTTTTCAGAGTTGAATCTTGGTTATATTTGCATGATAAGAAATATTCTACTCTAAAACATTAGTGTTCAAAGGCATAGCAAGCTCTAAATAACAGTGACAGTTCTAGAGTTTGCCGTTCTTGCAAATGCTTGGAAATTTAGTTGGGAATACAGTGAAAAGGTCTCCAACATGCGTCTGTAATAGAGACACTTACAAGCTCTTTCCTAGAACATTCAAAATATAGCAGTCTTTGTGCATTGGGTGCCACAGGTAAATTGTATTTTACATCCAGCATCAAAGCTCTGCTTTGATTGCTCTTTACCTCCCTCCCATCTTTCCTCTCTCCACTATCTTGTCTTCTCTGCTGATGTGCTCTTTGTTTGCTGCAGAACTCCCCAAGACACCAGTGGGGAGAAGAGGAACCAAATTCACAGACAGTAAGATGATTACCCACTGCATCACACCGTGGGCAGAAAAAATGACTTGTAGTTAGTGAAACAAGGGTGGTGTAAGGGTTTCAATGTTGGGTTCATGCCACTGGCTGCCTATCTTTTGGGCAGAGGTTGTTGGATTTCATAGAGGGGGTTTGGTTTTGTTTTAACTCGTGTGTTGTCAAACCTTAAAGATGCAAGCAAATAACTAGGTTTTAATGTGGTCTATTTTGCCCAAGATAACTGTTTTCTTAATATCGTCACGATTATGTTTTTGTAACTTCCCATACATAGAAGTGGAAATCCTTTAACAAGAGTATTTCTGAAAACTGTTGAGTGTTAGATTAGCGTTTTACTAGCATGACAGCACACTTAAGCCCATGTATACGATGCTAACTTTTACCCATAGGATCACAGATTTTTTAATGAAACCACTAAAATCAAATTCTCGTACTTGTGTCTAGAGTGAATGTTCCTCTTTGATCTAGAAGTTTCCCATCTTTCCCTCAGGAAAGAGATCATAACAGTGAAGATGAAGATGAAGATAAATATGCAGATGACATTGATATGCCTGGGCAGAACTTTGACTCTAAAAGACGTATCACAGTTCGAAATTTACGTATTCGGGAAGATATTGCAAAAGTGAGTAAAGAATTCTTTACAGATGTTCTTTTGCATTCATGAGAGTTAATTTCAAAAAATTGTATGCTCAACTGTTAATGAGTTTGTGTATGGGTTTGGGGGTTGGGAGGTTAAGGTCTGTTCTGAGTTTTATTCCTGCTCATGTTATGACTTTGTTAAGGTCATCCCTTTACACAGGTACACCTTCTTAAAATGTCTAAGCTGGGGATACAGTAGTAACTTCAGTTCTCTTAAAATCACAAATATTGAATTCTGTTGTTTGTTGTTCTCTTTAGAGGAATCTAGATCCAAACTCTGCTTATTATGATCCCAAAACAAGAGCGATGAGGGAGAACCCATATGCCAATACAGGCAAGAATCCAGATGAGTAAGTTAAAAGTGTCATGCTTGCCTATCCAACAGAACTGTATTAAAAATGAGATTAATAGTTTTGTATTTTCTTTTATCTGTCTGTGCTTTTAGTAATGAATTTCTAGTCAGCTATAGATAGAAGTAGTAGTAAACATGGAAAAAATTGTTTTATTTAGCAGCAGGTTTTGTTTTAGTATATGAAGGTGGTATCTTAGTAATCCTGGTCCTTAACCTTCAGGGTTAGGTGGACCACCGTTTAGTGTAATGATCTGTACAAGGTTAGAACAGTCTGCTGTATCTAGAGGTGATACCTGTAAACAGTAATGATTTTTATGTAAAGCGTTTCAGTAATCAAGTCTTAAACTTCATCCCTTATTTGTTGGGAGGCATTCAGCACTGGAGACTAGCATGGAGTATCTATGGTACCTAACTAAATGCCCTGAATTAGGAGCTCCTCATATATTAATGGAGTCTGCATAGAAAAGGTCTGAAAGCTTTGGCATTTTCTAGATAGACAACTTAATTAAAGAATGCCATAGGCTGGCTTTTGGCTGCACACATGGCTGTCTCACTTAAAACCCTGGTCAAGCACTTGAGCTGTGACCCTGCTGTGACCTGCAGAGGACTGCGGACATACAGGGTAGACAGGCTGTGAGCAGAAACATTTATTTAGAGTACAGTAATTGGATTAGCTCACTGCCTGAAATAGAATGGCAACGGCTAAATGGTAGCAAATAACGCTTTTTCTACCTCTCCTTGCCCCCAGCTAGAATAATGCCAGTCAGTGCTTTTTTTTTAAGATGCAGATGCACTTATCTCCAGAGTCATAATTTGACCTTTGTTGAATCTGTGCTTCTGCCACAGCACTGCAAACCATAAATTTTTCAGAGTGGGAAACTGGATTGTTAACATTATTTGATTTTTCAACCTGTGCTTCGTATATCCATTGTGAATCTCTTCTAGGGGTGTGCAAAAGGTAACTGAGAGCAGTAAAGCTAATACCGGGCTTTAACTTAGTAAAATACACTGGGTTGGGCGGGAGGAGAGGTTTACAAATCCAAAAGCTGAGAGTCACTATGCTAGAATATCACTTGCTATTCATGTATATTTATTGTGCAATTAGCTCCAAGCTTGACTCGTGGTGCTCGGTATCCCAGACAAAGCTCCAGGGCTGTGTCATAAGATGTTTCCGTATAAGCACAGGCATCAAGTATTCTGAGTTGCTAATACTTTCATGACTCTATGGGGAGCCTAGACTTTCATTTCATGCATTGAGTTGAATGCTCTTTCCTCTGCCTTCATTCGTAACTCTCAGGCACAAAGGAGAATTTTTAATTTTCTGTTGATGTTCTATGATTGTGTTTAAAACAAAATCACGTTACTTGAATGCTAAGAATCATACTGTTCTTTTCTGCAGAGTTGGTTATGCAGGCGATAACTTTGTTCGCTACACTGGAGATACCATTTCAATGGCACAGACTCAGTGTAAGTGGGTTTTGGGGTTGGTTGTTTTTTTTAAGGAAATGGACTTAAAAGACTTAAATTAACAATGCTTCTTTACTGCAAAAGAGTAATGAACGTTTTTTGATTGAGGCTTTTTTTCCAAATTATTGCAGAATTAAAGATCATAATTTGAAAGCACTTGTGAGTTTTAGAATAAATAATGAGTGAAATCTCTTGTGTCCCCAGTGTTTGCTTGGGAGGCTTATGACAAAGGCTCTGAAGTTCATCTTCAAGCAGACCCTACAAAATTAGAGCTACTTTATAAATCTTTCAAAGTGAAAAAAGAAGATTTCAAGGCACAGCAGAAAGAAAGCATCCTAGAGAAGGTAACAGACGTTTGGTTTTATTTAATAAGAATTCTATTGAGTTTGAAGTCTGGGTCTTGGGGAACAACTAGGATTACTAATGCCATACAAAAATGCATCAGCTGTTCCCAGCAGCTTAGATTTATACAAAGATTTTTATATCTGTACACACTATCTCATCAATTGGATTGACTATGTTATTTAATATAGGGACCTTTGGATTATTGGGAGCTGTTTCCTTAACTGTCAGAGTTTCTCCAGTGAAAAATCTGACAGCAGCATGTAGGAGGAGTGGGCATTTAGATTTTTTTTTTTTTAAATAATACAAGTGTTTGAAAAAATTCTTTTGCTGTTTAAATGTGGTGTCTTTTGTAAAATACCCAAGTAACTGTCTCCCAATATAATTTTTTAATTTTTCTTTTTTCTTAAATGTGAAAAGCAGAATTTTAGACTTGAGTTCTGGGTGCAGTCTTCTAGATAAATATTTATTTTATATTTGGCTCCTGGTTTCTTCGACAACTGATAAAGAACTAGATAATCCATTTAGAATGTAATCTTACCAACATTCAAATTTGGAGAGGAATATGAAGTACTGCTGTGGTTATACCACAGCCTTTTGGTTTGGTCTGAAAAGTTTTCCTGCTTTGAGTGAAGAATATCACTGTTGTAACCTTCCAGGCGTTTTAAACGACAAAACCAAAAAAAAACCCCAAACAAACAACCCACCACCAAAAACCACTGTGGTGGCCATAGGAGGAGATGTATTTGTCTTAAGTATTCACTAAAGATTAAACTGTCTCTGTCCACTTCTTTTATGTCTTCTTCAGAAGGTACTGAAGGTGAAGATTTTGAAGTATATTCCTAACTACATAAAAGGTGGGATTTTTTGCAAAATTATTAAATGTTATTTCTGTGTGCATTTTAGTATGGAGGACAAGAACATCTGGATGCCCCACCAGCTGAACTGCTGTTAGCTCAAACAGAAGATTACGTGGAGTACTCTAGACATGGAACAGTCATCAAAGGACAAGAGAAAGCTATTGCTTCCTCTAAATATGAAGAGGATGTGAAGATCAACAACCATACAGTAAGCCCTAGCTTATGTAAAAATTATAAAAAAATTAGATTCCTTCCCGTTGGAAGAGCACGAGTTATGGTAGGACACAGTACAATATAATTAATAAAGCAAATAAATTTTTTTCCCTGTCTCATATGTGACACTCTCCCTTTTCTATTAAGGATGAATATCGAGTTGTCATGGTTGTGATGTGAATTTGAGGAGTTGTGATGGCAATCTTAAACCAAAGGGGAAGTTACTCTATTTCCCTTCAACTTTGAACATGACTTGACCACATCCTGTTGCTTTTCTCTTTGTTGAAACTGTACTTGTAAGGCTAATGTAAAATTGTGAAAGTATTTTCATAGCTTTCCCTTCTGGATTGTTTGAATAATTTTATTTATCAGGATATAACCTCAAGAAGAAATTGCAGCCTGCCTCCTACGGGAGTGTCATTGTAGACATAACTGCTATGGTGTCTTCTTTTGCAGTGCATTTGGGGGTCATACTGGAAAGAAGGCAAATGGGGTTACAAATGCTGCCACTCATTCGTCAAGTACTCATACTGCACAGGAGAAGCTGGGAAAGAAATTGCTGTAAGTATTGTCTTACTTAGTCACTTGGAAAGAGCTAAAGAGCATTCATCTTCCTACCTAAGTTTGAGACTGTTTTGCTTTTGGGGGGGTGTTGGTTTGTTTGAGAGTTGTGGCTGGTTCTATTTTTCGTTTTTGTCCTTCACCTTTCAAATGTGCTTAGTAAATGGGTATCCTTCCTCTTGTCTATTGTATAGAATACTGAAGCAAGCTTACTGGAAGAGCAACCCAGGGAGGAAGAACACATGACAAAACCCAAAACACTGATGGAGGTGGGTTGTTTCCCTTCCTCAGGAAGGCAGATATTTCTCTTCAGCATTTTAAGAGATGTAAAGATATGTATAACTACAAAATTATGTAAGTCATAGTGAGTCTGAAAATTATTACACTGCATTATTAGATCATTATCATCTCCATTGAAAGCTAAGCTCTCAAAGAGCATTAGTAGATGCTTGGGATTTAGTGTCTCGAACATGAGTAATGTTTGCAAGTTGAATCTTAACAGTAGCTGGTTTTCCACCTTACAGATCCACCAAGAGAAACAGAAAGAGAAGAAAAAGAAGAAGCGTAAGAAGAGCTCAAATTCAGATAGTGAGGGGGAAGAGAAAAAGAAGCAAGAAAAACTTAAAAAGGTGCACTGTATTCTTCAGTGGTTTTGTGGCAAAAAGATCTTGAAATACATTTTACAACAATGTCAGTTTTATGAAGCCTGTAATGCAGTTCTTGTGGTGTTCTGTGGGATGTTCTTTGATGCTAATTTTAAGCGAAAACAAATTTAAAATGCTGTTCGATGTTCTAAAGTACATTTCCTATTTGTCAGGCAAACATGCAATAAATATTTACTTTTGGAAGACTTAAGTTTAGAAGATTTAGAACACTTCCTTTCTAGGCACCTATTACAACTGTAGATCTATAAAAGACATTGGAGAACACAATGATTTGGGTATTGAAGAAAGATGGAGAGATCAAAGGCACTGTCAAATTTTGACTTAGCACTTTTTATCCCAGACTTGGGCCCAGTCTCACAGTTGATTCAATAAATCCATCCACCAGGCTATCTACTGGCTGCTGCTCAACAGCCCTTCCGCAAGCACAGCAGCCTGCCCCTGGATATTCACAGCGTGAAACTAATATTAAACTATGGTTAATCAAAGCAGTGTACAAATGCAACTTCATGTCAGTAGCGAGAATGAGCAACAGAAGTAGTTTGAGGAATGGGATAACAGGTATTTCAAAAAGCATTTAAAAAAAACCCTGAACACACTGATTGAAGAAAAAAAAAAAAAACAAAACCAAAACCAAACCCAAACTCCCTAAGATCATATGCTTGCTTATCTGCTTTTGTACTTGCTGAATCATGATTATATTTTAGGTAAAGCCAGAGTTTCTTACTTGATTTGGGCAATTGGAAAGAGATTAAAGTATCTTGTTTGCTAAATACCATCATTTTATGTCAAACACCAAAAAATGAGCATTGAATGAAATGTGCTGTAGGTGGGCCAGACAGATGTGCATTGCTTATCCCACCATTCTGCCTGCTGCTTGTTCATTATACTAGCATCTAATACAAACTTTCATTGCTATTTTTGCTTAATTTTCATTGCGGGCTTTTTTTTTTTTTTCAAGATCATATGCTTGCTTATCTGCTTTTGTACTTGCTGAATCATGATTATATTTTAGGTAAAGCTAAAGAGTTTCTTACTCTTGGGCAATTGGTAAGATATTAAAGTATCTTGTTTGCTAAATACCATCATTTTATGTCAAACACCAAAAAATGAGCATTGAATGAAATGTGCTGTAGGTGGGCCAGACAGATGTGCATTGCTTATCCCACCATTCTGCCTGCTGCTTGTTCATTATACTAGCATCTAATACAAACTTTCATTGCTATTTTTGCTTAATTTTCATTGCGGGCTTTTTTTTTTTTTTTTCTTCGCTTTTATTTCAGGCACTAAACGCAGAAGAGGCTCGTCTTCTCCACGTTAAAGAAATCATGCAGTTAGATGAGAGGAAGAGACCGTACAACAGCGTATATGAAACCAGGGAGCCAACAGAAGAGGAAATGGAAGCCTATAGAATGAAACGTCAGAGACCTGATGACCCCATGGCCTCTTTTCTTGGACAGTAGTCACGGTGAAAATCATTCCAATACACAAGACTCTTTTTCGTACTTGTTTACGGCTCTGTAGGCACTTGTTACCTTCCACGTGTGGAAGTACCAGAAATAGCAGAGACCTTTTTTTGCACCAAAGAAGTTGGTGAAGACTTCTTTCAACAGACATAAGCAGTCCAACACTTAAAAAATTTTATATGTGTACATATACGTATACAGTCACAAATGGATATATACACATATATATAAAATTATATGTATATATAAAATACATACACCTACTTTATAAATTCTTTACTGGAAGAGAAAATATCTGATACTGGCTGGAATTCTAGGTTTGTTTGGCCAACCAATATATGCATAAAGTCATGATACATTCAGTAAAACTGACTACTTTAAAGAAATGGTCAGCAGATGTCATTTAATAGAGAACAAAAATTGTTGAAAAAAATAATTGGATACACCTACTGAAGACTCTTATTTGTAAAGGGAGTTGCTTGTCACATGGCTTTAAAAGGAGATATAGTTTCTGTCTTGATCACTTTGCACACTTTGCAGTAAGTATTTTAGAAATATAAAAATGGATTGCTTTGTACAGTTTTGGTTAAATTAATGTAAAGGTCTTAAATGCTGTCCAGCCTTTTTAATGAAGAGGTTAGGAGAAGCTGACTGTAGAGCTTTTAAATTCTAATTCTGTTTCTGCAGATGTTAACATACAAATTTCAGTTGCAAAGATCTGAGGTTTTTTGTTTGCTGTTTGACAACAGTGTTCATCTTACCCTTACAACTTCCAGAATCCTGTTACATGGTGTCATACCAAGTGTCAGGTTCTAATACCTTGTGATAATGTGAAACAGCGTCTGCTTTGTGTTTGGCAATATTAGTCCTTAAACTGGGAGTTTCCCCTTTAGCTATTAAAAGTTGAAGAAATGGGTGGAAAAACTGTACAGCGTGACTTTAGAGTTGGAAGGCTTAAGAATTACTTCTGTTACGGCTTAAACTGTCTTATGAAACATGGCTTTGATAACCACATTTAATGTGGTTATATTAATGGTAGGACAAGGAAGACTCCGTAATCTGGCCTTTTCTTCTTAAAATTAAGAACCCGATTACAATTTCCACTTTGTAAACAATAAGGAAGTTGAAGTTACTGGAAGAAAATGAAACAGTATGTTATGCCTGTAACACGGTGTACCTGTAATTTCCACCTGTAAAGCTAGTTTCTTTTTTTTTTTTTAACAAGTTTTCTCCAAGTTTGCTTCCCCCTCTTTTTTTTTTTGTTAGAGAATTCTAATGAGTAATTCTGTATACACACTTTAAATTTTATAAAATTTATAAATCTGACTGTGGACTTCTTATTTCGTGAAACTTGATTTTAAAATCCTCCTACCACTTGCAAAAAAATATAATGAACTAGTGAGGTCAAAGATCTGGTGGTGGAATTGTTAATATAACCAAATACCAGGAAGGAAAAACTTTAAAGAATAGAAATCAGCTTTTTCAGAAATTGCTTTTATGTTTTCACAAATGATGTGGATTTAGACAGTCAGAGGGGGAAAAATATTTGGGATATAGTTTTCCTTCCACTACACTAGTGACTCAATGTTCTAGGTTTCCACATCAGCTCATGTTTTGACCTTTCGAGGTTATGGATAATTTCAACGGAAAACTGCTCTTTTCCACAAATAATTACATACAATAAACACATTTAAGTGTTGTGGGTGTGATTTCACAGATGCTTTGAGGATTGAGTATTTTAATTTAGCATACAGAAATGCTAATAATGGAAATTCTGCATTAGTCTGCAGTGTAATTCTATGTTAAAACCATCTGTGATATTTTCATTGATGATCAAAATTTTAAGTCAAATGTTTAACTGTGTTACAGAGATCCTCTGGTATGACCTGAATGCAAACTGTCCTTGGATGATTTTACTGAATTAGCTGCACTGTAAACTGTTATTCTTCTCAGGGCTGTAACATCTGGAGTTCTGGCCAGCATACCTCCAGCTGCGGAGATACCAACTGTTGTTGTCTTAGTGCCAAGTTCAATTTGAGGGAACATGAGGTGTCAGAAAGGTCCATGTTATCAGTTCCTTGAGCTATTTGGGTACCTTTCTAAAAGTAGCTAGAGACTTGCAATTCAGAAATAGCACTGAAAAGAGCAATTTAGAACAAACAAAGAATTCACCGGTCTAGGCAGCCTGTAAAGTTCAGATTTAAACTCTTGTTTTGTAAGTATTCTTACATTCAGGAGAAAACTGGGGAGAGCGTTAAAGGTGCAAGTATTTTAGAAGCCAATATAACATGTTCAGTGCTACAGAGAGATATGTTTATTGCAAATAAACCTACTGAATTCCACCTAAAGCAGACTCAGGAAGGATTTTCTTTTCAGTACCAGAAGACATGACTGTCACTTACTTTCAGGTGTGCCCTGTCTTACTCTGCTAAGAGAGAGCCTATGGGGAAGATGGACCAGTTTCCTCTCCGGTGAAGCAGAAAGGCAGCTCCAGGGGGAAAAGCAATTAGTAGTGTTTTGTTCAAAATAGAGTTCCTTGAGCTTGTGAATGATGCAGAGTCTCAACAGTTAAAGGACAAATAAAGCTTAAAACATGTTGTCCTATTTATATCATAAAGGTTAAATGTTAAAAGAACATTGTGGATCTGATCATGAGGATTAATTTTCCTCCATCTGCTTCCCCTTGAATTTGGCATGCAATATGACTGTGCATATCCAAAGACCGCTTCCTATTAGACAAGAATTTTTCCTTTCTCAAACGAGTTTGAAATAAGTTTGTAGGCTAGCTTGGACAAAAGCGAACACGCAGTGGACATGAGCGTACTCCAGCAGAGGCAGCTCAAGTTGGGAACTCCTGTTTCTTGCACGCACAAAGGTAGAAGTGAGGTGAGAGGAAATCCCTGAGCCTGGTAACACAGACTAGTCAAATTCTCAAATCGTAATACAAGACAGACCCTCCCAGCACAGTCAGGATAGCTTTTGCTGAATCTTGCCCTTGGCAAAGCTCAAAAATTATTTTCTCAGCTCCCTTTTCAACAATTGCTTGGATCGCCTCATTTTTCATCCTCTTGAGTACTGTCAGTCTGTGAACTGCACTAGCCAGCTGATTTGAAGGTGTTTGCATTTTTAAAACGTAGATTAAAACATTCTCCTTTATTTTTCTGTTGAAAAGTGTAGCATTCTGTGTTATCTTTCAAGGCACGCCAGAAGGTAGCTCTTTTACTGTCTCCACATTTCTTTGTAATTGGATCTTTATGGCTTTCCTGAGTGGGTTAATAAAAGAGATGCACTGTTCTACGTGAGCGTAATTGTTTTAGGCTGTTGAGGGATCAGAAAAAAGAAACGACAGCACTTAGTTAAGGATGAAATGGAGTTCAACTTTTAGCAAAAAGAAAAAACAACAGCAGGGAGGATTTTCTGTGCCCACTAGTGCCCAGTGCAACCCAGTAACTGCAGTTTTCCGTGCCACTTTTGGGTATAACTTTAATTACTCCATTCAGGCCCAAACACTGTGACCTGAAGTACGTGCAGGCAACTCCTTGTTGTTCTGTTAGCACTCCTATTTGCATCCATTTTACCGAATGCAGAAAAGAGAGAGAAATACCATTCTAACTTAAAATTAGTTATTTTACATGAAACAAACTTGTTCACTTCTCTTAGATGATCCAACCAGAAACCTGCTGGGATAGTAGATAGTGATGATTTTTGCTTCTGCAAAAGGCATTTCAGACCTCAGTGGAACAGAGAAAAAAATTCCCTTTGCCTAAGAAAACCTTGATCAGTGGACAGATGAGCAAACCCAAAATTTCTAAGCTACAAAATCTTAAAATAAGTCCAGTAATTCCCAAACATTGGAGAAATGGCCTCCACCCCACCACTCATTCGCACCGCATTTGGATCTAAGCACAGTCCTTGCCCTGTTGCTCTGTCATCTCCCACCACATCTCTTAAGAGTGGGACCTTTTTGCAGATGTATGTACTTCTTTAGCACGTGTGCACACGCGTTTGTTCTTGATTTTCAACATACAGCTAAGAACTACAGATTTGGCTCCAACACCACCTCACAGCAGAGTTTTAACCCATCGATGCTTTTTATTCACAAGCTGCTACGACATGTGCTCACAGTGCATCGGGCAAGTGGCTGCTGGAGCGCACGGGCTGAGGTTGACATCGCCACCATAGTGCCCCGTTAGCAAGGCAGCTCTTGCAGCGGCACGGGTGACGCAGGAGTCCCCTCGCACTGGCAGTGCTCCGCGTTCTGCACATCCAGGTCGGGAAGGGGTTGTGCCACCAGCCTCTGGGCCGCATGAAACCCAAGCTGGGGGAGAAAAATGGTGCCGCCAGCTGGCTGCTGGTTTTGTTTGGCTGTCCCTTCTTGCTTTACCAAGTCTCACGCTGGGCATGTGCAGAAGCAAAAGCTCTGGGCTGTGGTGTTTAACACCGGAGAGCAGCACAGCCCCACGCTATATTCTGACAATATTTTCTCAATATTTGAGGAATAGCTGAAAGACCATTTTTAGCAAATTATTGGTTTTCTAAGAACAGATAATCCAGTTCTAATGCAAAATCTCAGCTTGGAAAGCAGCAGCAGGAGAGAGGATTTTATTTGTAGCTGTTACTATGTGCACACACTGTCACTGGTCACACGCGATGGAAGTAATTTTTCACTCATCTCTGGGGGCTGCTGTTTTGCCCTGAGGGATAGAGGCACTGTACCGTGACACGGGTAAATGACATTTGTCGCTGGCTTTCCTGGCTTGGGCAAATGCTGCCCGTGTCCCCAGGTACTGGGATTGCTGCTGCTGCTACAGGCTCCAGAAGTGGGGCTGGAATATTTTGTATTTGGGGAAATACAAGGCATTTTCAGAAGAGTCTTTTCTTATCTAACTATGTTATTAGATACCTAGGCGGGAGCCAATTGTGGCAAGTCAAAAAGATTGCTGAATTTCACTTTGAATTAGAAGGTACACGAGACAAAAGAAACAACCCCAACCTTA